AAAAAACGTACGATCTGCCCATCTTGGACAGGCAGATCGTACTCTCGATCATCACAAGCCTGCCCCCCTGAGGGCTTCCGATGACTGCAAACGGGCAGTGTGCGCGTGCGCACACCGGCCCGTTGGGCAGTTGTCGAACCAGCAGGCCACTAACTCGCCGAGAATCGTACGATTCCCGGCGGGTTTTCTAGTATGCTGGTTCGACGGAAGATGTGCGACCGTACAGTAGAAACGGTCGCACACCTTCCATACACTGCACGATTCTCTTACGATCGCGGGATTTCCCGCGATTCTCGTACGAGAATCGTGCAGTGTATGGGCACCTTTAGCCAAGTTTTGTACATGGAATTCCATTACAGGCAGTCCCCGGGTTATAAACAAGATAGGGACTGTAGGTTTGTACCTGAGTTGAATTTGTATGTAAGTTGGAACAGGTACATTTTTTAGGTCTAACTCCAGCCCAAAAATGTTTTTTGTTGTTTAGTTTTGGATAGCATAGGGAAGGGTTAACCCCCTGTAACATTTGTTTTGCTGTGTGTGCCCCTGTTCAGAAGATTTCACCTCACATTCTGTCCCTGTGACAATTGGATTTAGAAAATTTTGGGTTGTCGTGGAAACAACGATCGGTGATAAAGCTTCAGTGGAGACACCTTTTTCCCGTGATAACTCTTACAGGAGTGAATTTCCCTTCCTAGGGGTAGATTTCCTCTCACTTCCTGTTGTCTCAAGGACAGGAAGTGAGATTAAATAATTCTAATAAGGATACAGACAGCAGTAAAAAACCTCACAGTGACCCTGAAGAAGAGGCGGGCACTCCTCGTCAGCACGAGCGCGGTAGCATTACAACTACCCCCGTTGAACAGTAATAGCCTCTGTTTGTAAGTAGGAGTCGTGTGTAAGTCGGATGTATGTAACTCGGGGACTGCCTGTATAGCAGTTACCATTATATTCAGTGGAAATCAGTTGTTTAAATTTTGTAGAATTTGAATGACATGCTCGTTTCCAGATTCTCAGCCATAGTGTAAAATAAAAAGCACCTGTATTAAGAATGATGCAAAAGATGGTAATGTATTTTTACAGTTGAGGATCAGAATAGGGAATGATGGAAGTTAAAGGAGAACTATGGGGTCAGTGTTTTTCCCCATAGTTCTCCTTAGGGTAACGGGAGGACACAAACTAGCATCCTCCCGTTACCCTAAGCTCAGTATACCGCGAGCTACAGCTCGCGGTATACTGAGACGCCGGAGCGGATCCCGACGTAGATGACGGGATCCGCCCAGCTGCGTGAGTGACAGCTGGCTCTGCCTATCTAGAGGCAGAGCCAGCTGTACCCGCCCCCTCCCCCGTCCGTTCCGCCAGTCAGCGCTGGCAGATCGGAGCGGGGAGAGGGGAATCCAGCCCCTCCCCCTGTCACGGCAGAGAGCCGTGACAGGATCGAGAGGTGAGCGAACCCGGTATGTGTTCGCTCACCTCCCGATCTACTGAGCCGACCTGTGACAGTCTCATTGTCACAGGTCGGCTAGAACTATGAGGTGAGTGGAAATCACTCATCTCATAGTTCTCCTTTAATGACAGCTGCATTTATTACACTTCAAGCCAAATGCTAAATAGCTTTACTTCCCAGTTCTGCAAAAGATCACTCTTGCTATTAATAGAAGCAGGATAATCGAGGCTTTAACCACAACTTAGACTTGTCATGATAGAGATATGGACAATGTCTGCCTATATATATATATTAAGCTGATAGTCCTATTTCTGTCATAGTCATCCTATGTCTTTATTACTTAGTGAGTCATTGACTTGGCACAAACATGCCGGCAGTGAGGTCAGAAGTTTTTACCTGGCCTGCTTTTTGGAGCTGGCCTTTAATTTAAAATGTGTCAGTAAGTTTACCCCCTTTATGACATGAGTTCTGAATTTGGAATCATGTAGTTAGTTGCTGCGTGACCTTTTTACTGCCAGCCAGATAGAAAGCAGTCATGTTAATGGGTCGAAGAATCTGAATGTATTAGGCCCCATTCACACGGGGCAATCTGGCATCCCTCGCATAAGAATCTACCAATTCTTTTGGCAGAATTCCTAGATGTCTCTGTTCAGATGCGGCCACTGTGCCCATTGAAGTAAATGATAGGGACGACAGCGGCCACATCTTTCAGCATCAGTCCGCATGTGATCACAGATGGAACGAATACTTTTATTTTTTTTAAATACACAAAATACAAAGTATATAAACATAAAGTTTATTTCAGAATAAAACAGCATGCACAATGTTTTGCAATCACAGCGCACTTGCGGTTTGGGGCGCTCCTCACTGCTGGTCACCAGCTGCAGGGGTCTGTGTCCCCTCCGATGCAAGGGAACACAACGCCGATAAAACACTGCCTCCCAGCGGGAAGGAGAGAAGCAGAATCAACGAATCGATAATGAGAATCATTGTCAACAATTCTTATCGATTAGTTGTTGCAGCCCTGAGAAATGCCGCCGCTGTCACCCGGTCTTTGACTTCAGCGGGTACAGCAGCTGCATCTGAACTGGATATCTGGGATTCTTGCCACAGGAACCACCCGTGTGAATGGGGCCTAAGGAACCCCCCTGCCATAGTTTCTGGCTCTGCTCCTGCCCACTTTGGACTTGCACTTTATTCTGCATTCACACCTGAACCCATATCTCTGATGTTTTTCTAGCATTTTTGTGCGCTTCTGCGCACTTAAATGTGCGTTGTCAAAGCATTGTACAGGCAGTTTTGCAAGTGTGTGAAGCTTCAGACATTTTTGTTTTGGCCAATAGAAAGCAGCGATCCCAATTGAGGTCTATATGGGCCAAAACTGCCTGATTACACTCGTAACCCCCCCCCCCCAGGTACTTATTTGAGCATAGGGCATTGAGCTGCAAGCAACTGAGTGTTCAGATGCGAACAGGAGCAATTGGAAACTATGGGATTCTGTATGCTGAGTGTAGTCAGGGAAACGCACTACAAAATGCTCAGGTGCAAATGGAGACTTATGCTGACCCTCGGACGTTTCTTCTCTGAGTCACTGACCTGGAACAAGTACAAAGGTCATGAATGTAGCCCATGAGTTAGTCTTTCCCAAGAGGATCAGCATGACTACCAGGCAACTAGCATTTTCAGATAGGTCAGCAGTGGCAGCCTTCAGTTGCTGTAAAAGAAATGTTTTTTTTTTTTCAATAAATGCAATAATTGTTTTATTTTGTAATATTTTAATTTTTTTGTGTGTTTTAATTATTTTTTAGTGTGGCAAATAGGAAATACTATGGGGTCTATTTATCAAAGTTTTCACCCAACATTAAGTAAGAAAAATGTGAACCTTGGGTGGAAACATTGATAAATAGACCTATCTACCTCTCTCTCTAGAGATACACGCATACATATAGATATATCATCCTTTTACTCTCTACACCTCACAGCAGGCTATGAGCTTTGTACAAGACCAGAGACTCTACAGCTGACCTGAGAAATTCAGATGGTGGATGCTCCTATCCTGGGAGAAAGTGGCCCATTTTAGTGTTATGGTTTACAAAGGCAGACAATAGGTGCGCGCCAATGCTGACCATTTAAAAAACAAAACATTCTTTGCAATTCATTAATGTGCCCTGTAAGAATTATTTGCAATGACATACTATTAAATTATTCAAACAGTTCTCAGTTATATATATAACTTTATTGTGAAGTTTAAAAAGAAATAAAATAGATCCAATAGTTCTAAGAGATGTCAGTACTTTGAGTCACATTAAAGTCATGGTATTTTTATGCAAACGAGACATTTAGTGTCACAGGCTAAATATAAGCATTTGGCTTCTCTCTGTATCTAACTTGTACTGAAAATGCACTAATAATTTCTCCTGCAGTTCATCAGTCATTCATTTATTTTTAGGAGTGGCATATGGCTGTCAGTTACTGTGTCTTTATTGTGCTGTATTGACATTGCTGACCGTGTCCCCTCTCCATATACACTTCTTGAATGAGGGTTGATCCCAAATAGAATCTGCCGGTTCAGCTATTAAGGGGGGAGATGTGGTTATTAGCTCCTTAAAGGACCTCCCTATTACCAGGCTGTAGGTTTTGGCAGGTTGATTGATATTCAGTTTTTTAATGAAAATGGAATATGGAAATTAAGTGGGTTTGGAGGAGATGACGAGGGGTTATGGAGATGATGATGGAAATGAAGGGGGTGGAGGAGATGAGAAGGGGTTATGGAAATGAAGAGGGGGTGGAGGAGATAAGGAGAGGTTATGGAGATGAAGATGAGGGGAGGTCTGTGCTCTTTGAAAGCAATCAGAAATGAAGTAGGCAGGGCTTACACAATGTGCTTGGGAATCCAGAGCTGTGATGTCACACCAAAGAGGAAGATAGGAGTGCACTGTATTTTTTTGCTTGTCAACAGATATTTATTTTCTGTACTTGCACCTTGTTTCGAGGAATAAAATATTGGAGGGGGTGGGGGGCTGTGTGTGTAAATGTGCATGTATTATGTTTTTTTTTTTTTACATTGGCAAATGCTATAGGCTACTCTTCACACTTAATTCACAACTAGAGTCTCTGTTATTCTCTTTTATACTGTAGGGACATGCCACTCAAGAGTGTTCATCACTGCTGACAGAGCATTCCTGCTGTTCTGTCACCTCTGTGGTCTGCAGCTAGCACCAGAGATGTGAACCTTTCACAATATTTGTGTTAAGGTTGGCTTTATGACTCTGTTGAAGTGTTAAAGTGTACCTGTCATGAATTACCTGTGCTTTTTAGAGTAATAATTCATTGGTTCCTACCTAATAGAACTAGCTTACCAGTCACCCCAGAGTCGCTAGCTTTGAGGCAATGCTTGGGTACATACAGGTCCTATAGTAGCTGTGCTGTCCTTTGTAGAGATGTGTATCACTTTCTTCAAACACATAAGCCTTGACCAATGACGTGATAAATGGTTATTAATAGAAGTTGCTTTCTTATATAAGTGGATTTATTTCTATCCTTCTTTTCTTGGTAGTGAGCTGGAACGTCTCAGTAACTTAGTCGGGAAACCATCTGAAAACCATCCACTCCACAACAGCGGCTTGCTCAGCCTTGATCCAGTTCATGACAAGACTCCTCTGTACAGTCAGCTGCTTCAGGCCTACAAGTGGTCTAACAAGGTAAAACAATGGACTCTTGCTATTTACTCCCAGCGTATGCATATTATAGGGTAGTGGTTCCATAATCCTTTGCAAATATTGCAATTCTAAGAGTATGTTGCCTGTGATGTTCACGTAAATGTCATAACATAAATCCTGTATAATAATAATAATATTAACTAATTTATAGATTAAGAGCAGATACTACAAGGTTCTTGCAGGCACCTTTAATCTTCTGTGCCCTGGGGAGCCCTCAGTCCACAGTCTCTGGTACACCCTGAGCTGAGGCCTTTACTTCAAGAGGACCAGTCACAAATATCAATAAACTGTTTTAAAGGTGAACGCCAGGCCAACAGCTAAATACAAAGGTGAGATACATATATGACGGCTGTTTTATCTGCAAGATTTGCATTTCTGTCTATTCTTTCCTGTTTACACAACCCTGCCAGGCAGCACAGCCATGTTGGTGACCTGATCTTTCTCTACTGCAGTTTAGTAATAAAACTACCTTTCCGTCTGGTCCCTCTGCCAGCATGTGGCTGTACAGTAAAGGAGAAGCAGCAGAGTGATGAGCTCATCTCTGTCACTCTACTCTCTTCTCCTGTCCACTTCCTCCGTTAATACATGAGCAATGCAGTGCAATTGATTGGCTTCTTGTGCTGCTTCTTCCTCCCCAAGATGGTAAAATACCACAATCAAAACATCCATAGTTGTAACATCGGTGTTGCGACTGGGAACGGCTCCATGTCCACCAACATTGAACATTGATTTCAACATTGAATTCTCGACGAAATAGCCGCTGTGTTGCTGTGATAGACCAGATCACCACTTCGAACAAAGCTGTCGTAAGCAAACAATGTTGTAATGTCCACTGCTTCATTATGACTGAATTGGCATTTTTTTTTGGGGGGTGGGAGGGGAGAGACACCTAGCTAGTCCCGCTGTTCTAATAACGTCCGACTCCCGTCGGTCACCCTGTACCTTTGCACACTCAAATATGACATTGTAAAAGTAGCAGGGACATCATCGCTGCGCTGTACCTATCCTGTGCAGACAGTAGAGCTGTGGGAGGGACCAGCGGGCTCCAACCACTACAGGCTGCCTACAGAAAACTACAGGAGTGGGCGGAGACCAGACCAGCACAAGGAGAAAAAGCAGCAGTGACCATTCTTTATTACAGGAAGCTCCTGTACAGAGGAAACGTTTTACACATGATTACTGCTCAGATCTGGAAGACATACACAATTTGTCAGTCTGACTTTTTTGACAGATATAGGTTTCATAGTAAAAAAAAAAAAAAAGCCAGCCTATTCTTACATTTTACATTGTTTTTAATTTTGACTTTAAGGTTAGGCAGTTGACAAGGCAGCAGCTGCCAGACCTTGTTTTTAAGCTGAAAAGTCAGGCTCAAACAACATCCGTAAAGCTAAATGAAACGAGGGATGCAGACCAATAACGTCTTTAAGTAAGCAGAAGTGTTGAATGCCAAGCTGTCATTGAGATGCTGCAACGCTTGAACATGGAATGATGGTTGGGAGAAATGGGCAGCCAAAGAAGTAAGTATATTGCCTCCACAATTGACTGGAGCTGTTATTGGTAATTTTTAAGAACCTAACAGGGTCACTTTAAAAACTAAAGCTAGAGCTCTGCTTTAAGGGCCCACTCACACCACATTCAGATTACCTCCAGGCCATTCTAGACTGTTTCCGGACCCAAAAAGCATCCCAATGTATCCCTATGCTATTTCTGGCCTCTGTTCCCACCAGTGCAGTACGTTGCAGACAAGACCAGAAAAATACTGCTTGTTCTATTTTGTCTGGTCTGGAATGCACTGGAACACATAAAAAAAAGCATCAAAAATGCATGGAACGCACTTGTAAGACCATTTTAGGCTGACATTTTTTTATTCAATCACGGTTAAAAAACGCAGCAAAAACGTAATGCCCTATGTTCCAGATCTGGCCCGGAAAATGGTGTGAACCCAGCCTCAATATAAATCAATGATGGTACAATAGATACTGTTTGTTTGGCTGCCTTTTTGCTACTTTTCCTGACACTGGCAAGTCGCCTTAACAATGGCAGACCTGCAGACTACCTAAAGACAAGGTTCCTTATTTCGTGGCTACCCATCATTCTTACAGGTGACCAGTATGCTATAGCAAGATGCTACTGTTCAGGTTGTAATTGCATACAAAATTAAGCTTTTCATCTATGTATTAGGCCTTGTTCACACCGAAAGCGTGTGCGTTCCAGAGCGGTAGCTGCTGGAACGCACCGCAATCGCTGAGAACCTTCCCCTTGCGTTTTGGGGCGGGAGGCGGCGTGGAGGTGCATTGTATTCAACGGCACCGCTTCCATGCCCCCCGCCTGCAGTGCGATCGGACGCCTGGGAAAACTTTGCCAGCGGTCCGTTCCACTGCAAACCCAAAAAATAGGGCTTGCCCCAAAACGCGGGGGGAAGTTTCTCAGCGATCGCGGTGCGTTCCAGCAGCTACCGCTCTGGAACGCACACGCTTTCGGTAGTGAACAAGCCCTTAGTGTAGTGTTATGTTCAACATCCAGGATGTATGGAGTCTGTTCTCCCTGTGTGAGTTTCTTCCGGGTAATCCGGTTTCCTCCCACACTCCAAAGACCTGCTGGAATGCTAACTGGCTGCTGTCTAAATTGGCACAGTATTTGTGTATATGAGGCAAGGACCTTACATTGTAAGCCCCTTGAGGGCAGGGACTGATGTAAATGAATAGTATAAAAAGCGCTGCGTAAATTGATGGCGCTATATTTACCCGTAGTAAATAAAAATGTAGGTTATTGTTTCAGAGACTGGTTTTCTTTAGCAATAACAGAATGACAACATTTTCTATTGCTTGTATAAGGAATCAGTCAGGTTTACTCGTTCCTACAACATATCATTAGAGTGTTGCCTCTAAGTGAAAAATAGTAGAGTCATTTGCTAAAAATATAATTCACTGTTTTATTGTTCTGACTCATTTTCTGTGAGCATATGTGTGCGTACATTTATGCAATCAGTAAATAAACGCTTATGAGCTGCAGTGATTGTGTAAGTGGTACGGGGAAAAAAGGAAACTGTACTATGAGAAAAATGGAAGCTGCCATTGCTTCTGAAAATACTTATTGGCTGGCTGTCTCTTGTGTCCGTACCTTGACACACTTCCTTGGAACAAGCATGCACATCAGGACAAGTCTTGGTAAAGTCAGAGATTTTATTCTGCGTTTGGGTTCTGGGACTTTAAAAAGAACTGAAGGCGGTTGATCAGCATGACAGGGAGGGGGATAGTATGTTTAGGAAAAAAAGGTCAAACAGTGGAAACCTTCATCATTATGATCACTGCAGGCTTTCTCTATTTCGAAGTTTGGAGAGTCCAATTATTGAGCATCACAGGATCATGTGACTTGTAATGCTGTTGGATGGCACTAGTGATTGCACATATCTCAGCATTGTAATCTCCAAGAGACATATCAAGGTGGCAAATGGTACAGCTTATAAAAAATACGTCAATGCTAGAGCCTGATGAAGGGACCCTGTGTGGTCCCGAAAGCGCTTGTTCATAAGATAAAGAACTTCATTAAATGAAGCTTTTGCTATCCTAAAAGGACTGGTAGGCTGTTGACACTTCTACAATTCTATGGTACAGCTTACCCACACCTCATAAAACCATTAATTCTAGCCAGAACATTTTTTTTGTAGTTTTGGGCAGTGTAGGGAAGGAGAATTGTATTGGTATCTGAGATCTTGGTGGGGAGATTTAGCCTCATCTCCTGTTCCAGTGACAACCTTAATACCAAGGCAGAAAGTGAGGGGAACTTTCGACGGCTGCCTTTACTAACCCCTTCTTCTGGAAATTCTAGTATCTACAATGGTTTTTGAGTTCGGCAAGTGGGCAGGTCAGGAGTTCTCAACTTAGTTTGACTTTGGTCATTGAATGCTTGTTCTGGGTCAGCAGTAGTAGGTCAGGAATAGCACCCTGCCAATTTCTACAGTTTGACAGGGTCCCTTTTAAGCATCTCAAGCATCTGTTAACATGTTATAATTACATTTTGTAATGCTCGCACTTTTCTTTTTTGATCCGAGATTGATCACATCATTCGTTTCCTATAAACAGAGGGTGAGAATACTTGTAACTCTTGTGATATCACTTTCTTTTTCTCCGCTTACCGCAGTAATCTGCTAAAACGCGGACGAGTGATTGATCTATTAAAGCTGCGGCGCAGCAAACACAAATTCATCTTCATAGATTGTTCTATCATTTTCCAATCTTCCAAAAGTCTAAATTGAAACTTCCGCTCACTTTGAAAAAAATGTTTTTTTGTGCTGTCGGCGCATAACGTCGACTGGTGTGTCTAGACATTTCATATTTTATCCAGCATCTATCAGGGGAAGATTACAGCTTGACACAGCCTCATTAGATTGTGAGGATCAGAGAAATGTGCAGATATTAATTGATCATCATTTTTAGCCGGTGCATCGAGATTAAACACATAAAAGTGCTGTTTTAATAACTGCATCAGCTCAACTTGTATCAAATAGCTGATGGTGTTACTTAGTAATGCCTATAAGTCATGGAGTTAAGGTTGTCTTACTGCAGAGTCATTAAACAGATGTCTGAACAAAAAACATGTAAATAAAGTTGTATTGCTCTTGCTTTTGTTTATAGCTGTTTGATTGTAGGAAGTTTGCTGAAAGGGGCAGATTTTGGGCATAAGTTCTTTTCAGCTTAGGCATCTCGGGTTTCACAATGGCGTTTAAAATTCTCATGTTCCAATGCTGTACAGGGTATCCTTCACTTTCAGTTTTTTGACGTGGTCCATAATTATTGGGCATTTGCACTTATACTGCAGTTACCTTTCATTGGCTCCTGTCCCCTCCCTTAGCAACTCTGTAAGAGTACATACTTGCCTGAACTAGAAGATTTCCCATGCATTCCTATTCTAATAATGAGCCAAAATGTGAGATTTCTTTTCACTTTTAGTGATAGCAGTCTTCAGGACAAATAGAGAGGGTG